ACATATACAAACAGGATAATCATAGTCACCACTGTTGCAAGGGATTGTGGATTGCAACTGCTTTAAATGCTAAAGAGAGGGGATTACCACATAGGAGTGTACAGGGTTTGCTTATTCAGTTAAAACTGGGAAGGGAATTGAATCTCACTCATATACTCAACCACACATACAGTCCCAGGCAGGATGATAAGGCAAGCAGAAGGCAGTTCGTGTTATCTGATCTTCCCAAGTTGACTCCTGAGCTGGTCCGCTGGCCAGGCGATTCGAGTAGACGGCGTTCTGGGAGGCTCCTCTTGATGGTCAACCAACAACCTGTGTCTGCGTCCCTCTCTCCTTTAAGGATTAGCCACGTGCAGCTTCTGACTCTCTGGGCCTCTTCCTGCTGGGGCCGTGTACACTGTTGTTTACTCCTACTGTTTATCTTAGAGTTTTCCCGCCTCTTGTGTCCACCTCAGACATTCTTTTGCACTCACTCTGGGAAGAGATAGGAGGTTAACAGATAACACTTTAATGGTTTAGGGAACCAAATAACAATTAACAGGTTAGAAAGAGAACAACATCCATTTGAACTCTTTCCTTGTTCCTCTTTTGCCTCCAACACCCACATCAGAACTTTCCCAGTGACACCGCACACGACACACTTTGTATATGGTTTGTTGCAACTGTGTAACAGTGGCAGCACAATGACCCACATGGTCATATTATAATCTTGTAACATCACAGGGAGATCTTCCCAGCACTATATGATGATCCAAGAAGGGATCATAGAACCATAGAGCTGGAAGAGACCTCAGAAGGTCATCAAGTCCAGCCCCCTGCTCTAGGCAGGACCAATCCCAACTAAATCACCTAGAAAAGTTAGATGCCTGCAAGTCACCAGGGCCTGATGAAATGCATCCTAGAATACTCAAGGAGCTGATAGAGGAGGTATCTGAGCCTCTAGCTATCATCTTTGGAAAATCATGGTAGACAGGAGAGATTCCAGAAGACTGGAAAAGGGCAAATACAGTGCTCATTTATAAAACAGGAAATAAGAACAACCCAGAAAACTACAGACCAGTTAGTTTAACTTCTGTGCGAGGGAAGATAATGGAACAGGTAATTAAAGAAATCATCTGTAAACACTTATCAGAGGGGTAGCCGTGTTAGTCTGAATCTGCAAAAGCGGCAAGGAGTCCTGTGGCACCTTATAGACTAACTGAAGTGTAGGAGCATAAGCTTTCACGGGCAAAGACCCACTTCGTCAGATGCATGACGTGAACACTTGGAAAGCGGCAAGGTGATAGGGAACAGCCAGCATGGATTTGTAAAGAACAAATCATGTCAAACCAATCTGATAGCGTTCTTTGATAGGATAACGTCTTGTGGATAAGGGAGAAGCGGTGGATGTGGTATACCTAGACTTTAGTAAGGCGTTTGATACAGTCTCGCATGATATTCTTATCAATAAACGAGGCAAATACAACTTAGGTGGGGCTACTATAAGGTGGGTGCACAACTGGCTGGATAACTGTGCTCAGAGAGTAGTTATTAATGGTTCACAATCCTGCTGGAAAGGTATAACAAGTGAGGTTCCGCAGGGGTCTGTTTTGGGTACAGATACAGTAGTCACTGAAATATCTATTCAGTTCTTTTATTCCTGGCCTGCACAACATACGGCCCGAGGGGCCCTTATTTCATAGAGGGATAAGGGATCTTTTGGAAAAGGCTTTATTTTCCGCAAGATCAGCGTCTAGACTGGCGCGTTCTTCCAGCAAAGCGCCGTGCCGAAAAAAGCAGCAGTCATTTTTATGCTAATGAAGGGGGGGAGATTTAAATCCCCGCTTCATTAGCAATTGCGATACGTCTAATTTACATCCCTTTTATGAAAAAGGGATGTAGTCTAGACGTAGCCTAATGAGTTTATCCTCACAACAGCCTCTGTAAGGTACAGAGATATTACTTTCACTTTAAAGCAGGGGAATTGAAGCAGAGATATTGGGACCGAAATAGTGACTGTCTAGGAAGGAGAACTGCAGAAAGGAATCTAGAGGTCACAGCGTGGCACAAGCTAAATATGAGTCAGCAGTGGACACAGCAGGGAGGGAATGTCCTAAGCGGCCTTCTCTGTGGAGAGGTACAAATAGCCCAAGAGGGGTAAAAGCCCAAGAGGGGTAAAAGCAGGATTTGGTGTAGGCGATACTTAGTTTTGACTCTTGGACTTGTTACCCTAAAAGGGGGCTGAACTGGCCTAAAACATGATGGCTGCGTCTAGACTAGCATGATTTTCCACAGATGCTTTTAACAGAAAAGTTTTTCCGTTAAAAGCATTTGCGGAAAAGAGCGTCTAGATTGGCACGGACGCTTTTCCTCAAAAGCATTTTTTGCGGAAAAGTGTCTGTGCCAAGAGAAAATGTGTTCATCTTTACCTCTGAGGATAGAACAAGAAACAATGGGCTTAAACTGCAGCCAGGGAGGTTTAGGTTGGACATTAGGAAAAAGTTCCTAACCATCAGAGTAGTCAAACACTGGAATAAATTTCCCAGGGAGGTTGTGGAATCTCCATCTGTGGAGATATTTAAGAGTAGGTTAGATAAATGTCTATCAGGGATGGTCTCCGTGAGGGCAGGGGACTGGACTCGATGACCTCTTGAGGTTCCTTCCAGTCCTAGTATTCTGTGATTCTGATTTCCTCGCTGCTTCTGTTGGCTGGAATTGTGACCAATAGGAGCGGTGGGAAGCTGTGCTTGGGAGTGATGGGGGCGCAAAGCCAGGTAAGCACCCCCCCATCCCCAGATCCTGCACCCCAATACCCCTTCACTCACCCTTCTACCAAGACACTACATCCCCAGCTTGCTCCTGCCCCCTCCCTTGTTCCTACCTCCTGACCAGACACCCTACCCCCAGCCTGTTCCTGCACCCTCCCTACTGGCCATACTCTTCACCCGCCCTTGCTCCTGCACTCTCCCCTCTGGCCAGACACCCTACCCCTAGCCCGCTCCTGCATCCTCTCTTGCTCCTGTACCTTCCCTTGTTTTGCCCCCTCCCCCTGGCCAGACATGCTACTCCCAGCCTGCTCTTGCACTCTTCCTTCCATCCAGACCTTGCACCCTCCCCACCTCCTGCCCAGATCCTGAACCCCCATCCATCTCGTTGTCAGCCCTGTGCTGCACACGGAACCTCTCATTTTTGTGCCAACCCCAGAGCCTAGTGGGGTTCAGAAAACCCACTAACCCTGGAACTCCAGAAGAGTAAATCTCACCTTTGGGAAGCCCTGAACCTCAGTCCTTCCTGTTCTCTCCCTCCCCTGTTGGGGCTGGAACACCAGAGGCATGAAATAACTCAATTGGGGGCCATATCAGTGAGGGTTGGGGATTTTTGGAGGGGGTTTCTTTTGCTTCTCACTTGTGTGGTGCCCAACTGATTTTTTTTTTCTGTGGGTCAGTGGCCCCCAACCCAAAAAAAGTTCCTCATCTCTGCCATAAATAAAGAAAACATGGGAAACTTTTGTGTTGGACATAAATTAATATTTTATTTAATTTAAAATGAAGTTTAATTAAACTAAAATGAGAAAGTGAATGTATTTAATCTGTTTAATAATTTAAATTAACATTTCCTTTCTTACTGATTAAATTAAACTGTTCTTCCTAGCTGCAGCACTCGCAAAATGGCTTGGGTGTAATTATGTAATTAATGATGAGTTTCCATTAGCTGGTGGTCCAAGGAAAGGTTTTGCATTAAACAAGGTGGGCCACTGGCCAAAAAGTTTGAGAACCACTGACAGGTAGATACGTTGGAGGATAAGAATAGGGTCAAGAGGTGACCTAGAGAAATGGAACAATTAGGCCAAAATAAATCTGATGAAGTTCAACAAGGACAAGTGCAGAATCCTGCACTTGGGACAGAGGAATCCCATGCACTGTTACAGGCTGGGGACCGACTGGCTAAGCAGCAGGTCGGGAGAAAAAGACCTGGTGGTTACAGTGTATGAGAAGCTGGATATGAGTCCATGGTGCCCTTGTAGCCAAGAAGACTAATAGCATATTAGCTATTAGGAGGAGCATTGCCAGCAAATCTATTCTCCTTGATTCAGCACTGGTGAGGCCACATCTGGAGTACTGCATCCAATTCTGGGCTCCCCATTACAGAAAGGATGTGGACACATTGGAGTGGGTCCAGCAGATGGCAACCAAAATGATGAGGGGGCTGGAGCACATGACTTATGAGGAGAGGCTGAGGGATTTGAGCTTGTTTAGTCTATGGAAGAGTGAGGGGGGATTTCAGCATTTAAATACCTGAAGGGAAGTTCCAAAGAGGATGGAGAGAGGCTGTTCTCAGTGGCGGCAGATGACAGAACGAGGAGCAATGGTCTCAAGTTACAGTGGGGGAAGTCTAGGTTGGAAATTAGGAAAAACTATTTCCCTAGGCGGGTGGGGAAGCACTGAAAAGGGTTACCTAGGGAAGTGGTGGAATCTCCATCCCTAGAGGTTTTTAAGTCCCGGCTTGACAAAGCCCTGGCTGGGATGTTTTAGTTGGGGTTGGTCCTGCCTTGGGCAGGGAGTTGTTGGACTCAATGACGTCCTGAGGCCTTTTCCAAACCTGTAATTATAAGATTCTAAGAAGTTTTAGTGACCTGCCGTGTGTTAGCTGCAGTTTAAGCCCTGCCTGTGGCCCTCGGTGTCAGATCTGCAAGCCCTCACTAGAGCTCAACTTCTGAGCATTGTGTTCCTGTCATGTCCTGGGATGGGGGGGATGGAACAGGTCATGAGGGAGACTTAATTGTACCCTAGAGAATGCAGCAGAGCACTCAGCTCCCCTAGGGAATCCAGTGGGCCTCGGGCAGGGAGAATGCACCTTTACTGAAGGTAAGCGTGATGTGGGATCTTGTACCATCCAGAGCTCAGCCTCTGCAAGGTAGGGAAGGAGCCTTTCTGGGTGGACAAATCAGACCCTGGCTCTGGAAGTAGTAATGGCATGGACCTTAATGAACAAGATAAACACTTGGGTAATTGTTCCCCAAGCAGGATTTCCAGTCTCCAAAGCTTATGTGATCTCCTGGGTGGAGCGAGGGGAGAAGCGGTGGATCCCAGATCTCCAAATCTGTGAAGAAGGGGAGATCATCAGCGACACCCACACAGGTAAGCAATCAGCTACACTGACTCAGAAACCAATTTCTGTCTCCTTACAGCAGGTGCATTTTCATCAAGTCTCACTGACCCTTCAGCCTGTCTTCAACTCCAGTCAGAAGATGGGGGGGGGGCAAGGTTGGGTTCTCTCCTTTGGGAAAGGGCTATGAGGAGGGAGAATGAATTTGGTTCATGATTATTCAACCTTTCCAGCCGTTATTTGGGTGTGTTCCCTTTTCTATTCCACTTCCAGAGTTTTCCTTTCAGCTCAGCACAGAGAATGTTTTCTGAATTTTCTCTCTATCCCAACAGGTGATGGATCACTGTG